AATACTTCTTGATCCAAGTGTTATAAATGTTCTTATAGATATAAAGATCATTTCAAAATTCACTCTGTTTACAGATTTCTGATATGTGTAAATTCAAATGTTTCAAGTAGCAGAAATGCAGACTACAATAGTCACTGTTACCCTGAGATTTTCAAAGGTGTTCTTCTATCAGTGATCAGTGGACCATACATATATTTCTACTGCAAATATTCTGGAAGGCACTGCTCTCTGGAATTCCCATTCCACACTGATCCAATAAAATCTGACTTTACAGATTTTCAACACATACCATGAACCAATCCCTCCTCCTCGGCTGCTCTCCAACTCAATAATGGCAGTTACATTCATTACATTTAGTGAGTCAGACTTTCCGCAGTGCCTAAGTCACTCCCAGCTAGTATGGCAGGTGTGCGATGAGTGACGTTAGCTGTTTCGGCATTCTAAAAAACCGTGTAAGTTTAAAGCAGCCATGGTATTGCCCTACTGGCCTGAAAGAGTAAAGGCTTCCTCCACTAATGCCTCAAATATGACTTCTGTGTTGGAGAGAAAAGAATGCAACACTTTTCCTTTTAAAAAATAAAGCAAAGGCTTACTATAATCAGAGGATTTGTTTAAAATATTTATAAATCACTTTAAATAATAAGGTTGTTTCCTATTTTTGCCCACTGGAGATAGTGGGGTTTTAAGGTAGAAAAAATAAGAAGAAATTAGTCTTTATGACACTTGAGATTTCATCCCTTTCTTAAAAAGCTGCCCAGAAATAACATTAAGTGTCTATCTCAAACCCACAAAACCAATAAATACAGAGTTAGAAATGCCACTACATCCTTATTATTCCTTGGTTAGTGTGGCTTGCCCTTTTTCTCTGTTTACAGTTGCATAATTATTTATTCCCTGGAGAACATGGAGGTCAATCTAAAGTCAAGACTGGCTCTAAATGAATGCGCTGTCTATGATACCTGGCTCTCCTCCCAGCAAGACAAACACACAGGAGAAGCCCAGTCACACTTCAAGTCACAAATGTACAAGCATATGAAAAAAGACATCCCAGAGTCCGACACTGTGAGGCTGATAACTAATGAGTTCTCCAGTTAGAACTTGGATAACTGGGTATACACTTTGGATGAAAAAAAATAATCAAAACTTTTAAGGTCAGAGATACAGAATTTTTCAAGCTCTAAGATTCATACTTTGGAAATCTACTGCACACTATGAGATTTGGGGTCTGGAAACCCTAAATTTAAATGTCTTCCAAAAAGTTAAAAAGAAAAAAAATCAAGCCTTTGGAAGAGTTCTGTCTTTTAAAAGTTTGTTAACTTAGGTCAACACCATGAGAATTCTCCTTTGCTATCTAGGTCACGTAGTTGTTGAGATATAACCAGAAATAGAAAGTGGTTTTGTACAAATGCCTCAGAAACCTTGATCTTCAAAAGGCCTAAAATTCAAGCAGAGTTAAAAGCCTGATAATTTGCATAATAACATGTGGTCTTATCTGGATTTTTTACGGAAAAAGTGGTTTTGAGTAATCTAGATAATTGCTCTACTCCTCCTCTTCCAATTTGTATTAATAGACACAGAAAGATAAAACTTCCAAATTATCTTTGAAACCTTTCTCATTATTGCCTTTCAACAGTCTAGAAGTGAAGTCTGAACTGACTCCAACCGGCTGAGTCTTCCCCACTATTCAAATGGGGCCGCGTCCCGATTATCAGTGCAATGTGATCACTAGATTTTAAAGGCAACTGCGCGTCCAAATGGCTGAGTGCAAGAGGTCGGCCGGAGATAGGGCCGAGCGCGCTGCCCCAAGCTGGGATCCCTGCCAAGCACTCACGGACAATGCACTGGTTTCCTCCAGGGAGCGTCTTCCATCCCGGGCAGCAGTAGGAGTGGAATCTGGAGCCGCACACGTTCGGCCTGTGATAGACAAGGGCGGTCACACACAGATAGAGAGGGGGTGCAGCAACATATGAACGGTCTTCGTAAGCAATAAATACCCCGAGTGAGTAGATTTCAAGACAACAAACAAACTAAAACTACACTTCAAATTCTTGGGGGTTGGGAGGCAGACGAGGAAGTAAAAGAGCTAGACGCTGGAATGCAGGAGGGTCAGAAACGTCTAAACATTGCCTTTCATCTGTCGTCCCTTGCCTGCTTGTTTAAAGGGCGAAAAGAGACATGGAAACATATAATTTGCTACTATTCTAGCTTCCAGATGCAGAGAACAAAGGGAACATTCCGTTCCAAAAAATCCTTGCCCTCCTCCCCAAATCCATTCCTCCTTGATCAACTGTTACTTTGGCCCCGACGTGTCAAGGAAGGCGCGTCGGAAGGTGGAGGGCTCCGGTTGGTGATTAGAAGGTGTGCCATGAACCCTGCACACGTCCTCAAACAAAAGGCTCAGAGCGGCGCCTCAGACGGTGGGGAGAAAGCAGGCTCCTCTGGCCCCTGCGCCGGGAGGACCCAGGCCAGCCTTCCGCCCGACATTCAGAACCTGTTCCCGCACCGCGGGCTCTGCACACTCTCTGCGATCCGCAGCCCGGGGTCCCCTGTTACCCGCCGCCCGACCCTCCGAGAGAGCTTCACGCCCGCTAAGCCGCGAGCGTTGGGAAGGGGCAGGCGCTCCTGGGGGGTCTTTGGGTCTCCTGGCGAAGGGGGCTGCAGCTCTAGGCTCCAGCACTAGGGTAGGGAGGGGGTGGGCTGGAAAGCCGCCAAACGGAGGATTCCCCCCTCCCCCAAGCCGGCGCCTTAGGTGCGGGACCGCTTGCCCACCTACCCTCGGAGCACGTCCTGCTGTCCTCGCCGGCGGACGCGACTGGCCACCGCGGCAGCCTCCTCAAGATACTCGGGCACCAGAAACCCGCCTTCAGAGCCTGCTGTGGCGGACCGGACCTGTTGCGGCGGCGGCTGGGGCCGGGGCGGCTTGGGCGGAGGAGGCTGTGGCTGGCCAGCCGTGCCCTGCGCCCAGAGCGCCACGCAGCCCAGCCACACGAAGTAGGGCTGGAGACACAGCCGCCGTCGTCTCCCCATCGCCGGCGCCGAAAGCGCGCGGCCCTAGACCCGCGGAGAGGGAGTGACCAAAGACAAAATCTGCGCGGCCCCAAAAAAGTCAATGTCTAATAAGCCCTTCGTCGGCTGCGAGTACTCTCTCAGGTTCGGGCTCCCTACTCTAACTGGAGACCCCGACAGAGCACCGGCCCCCTGGCTGCCTGCGACGCAGGACACCAAGTCTAGCGCAATGGGCGGTGAGGTGCGGCGGAGGTGAAGCCGGCAGCTCCGAGCGGTCCACGTTGCATCCCCCGGGCGACAGCCCCGAGCGACTACAGGACCGCCAGCCGGCGGGGGCGAAAAATTACAAAAGTAACCTGAGCAGCCCGGGCGTAAAGTTACAAAGAAAGTGAACCTCAAAAGGAAAAAAGGCCTGCACTCAGGGCTCGGCGGATTCCCGTGCGCTCTGGGCACGGATCTTGGAAAGCTGCGAAAGTCACCAAAAAGAAGCAAGCAAGCAAACAAAAGTTGCCCCAAAAGAACAGGGTACCCTCTGGGCTCTTTCCGAGTCCCACAGGGCAACGACGTGCGGGCAGCAGCTGCGGAGGCCGGGCGGAGGTGCGCAGGGTGGGGACCTGCGGCGGGCAAGAGAGCTAGGGCGGGAGGCGGGAGGCGGGAGGCTGGATGCCCGGGAAGATGCGGCGGGGGAGGGCGCGGCGCGCGGGTTTTAGAGGCCCGGCGGGGCGCTGGGCGGGCCGGCGGGCGGCGGCTGTCAGTGGGGGCGCAGCCTTCCACACGTGGGACGCAGCCCGGACCCAGGGGCCGGCGCAGAGTGGGCGGGGACAGAGTAAGGGAGAGATCGGGTGCGGAGGAACTAGGGGAGCGAAGGTTGGGGGAGGGGAAGAGGAAGGAAGGGGGGCAGGGCGAAGGGAGGGGAGAGGACGGAGATTGGGGAGAAGGGGGGCGAGCCCGAGAGGAAGGCTGGGGTGGAAGAGGGACTTGGAAAGAGGGATTGGCGAGCCCGGGTGCGAGAGGAAATGAGCGGGGGATGGGGGCGAGGTTAGGGCAAAAAGAGAAGTGGGAAAAGGGAGGGAGGGCCCAGGGCCGGGCGCGAGAGGAGGGGGCCAGGAGGCCGGCTGGAGGGGGCGAGCCGCTAGGCGGCTTTGCTTCCCGTCCCCCTCAATTGGCCGCTAGTTCTGTTTTGACTGCATGTACAAAGGGAGCAGACGGCGGGGGATGGGGCAATTAGGGACCGGATTTGGGAAACGAGGCAGCAGCCCCTTCCCCTCCCCCTCCGCCCTCGTCCGGCCGCGGACCGGGGACTAGGGTCCCTAAGCTCGCCAGGCTTGGCTGGATCCGCAGCTGAACTTCCCCGCCGGACAGAGGCCGCAAGGTTGAGGATGAGAAAGGGTCTTCCGGACCCTGACACAGGATGGGGGGATTCGCAGTCAGCCAGGAATAGAGGCTCACTGGGCTTTGGTTGCAGCCCAAACGAGAAGGACGGGCCCTCCCCACCGCCCTCTTACCTCCACCGCCCCACCGGGAGCGGCGTCAGTCTGCAGGACCAACGTAGCGGCCGGGCGTTTCCAGATTGAAATGCTCCCTCGGCCACCAAGAGGGAGCTCACGCGGCCGCGGGGGTCCTAGGCAGCTAACTGGCGCCGCAGTCCCGGGGAGTCTGTGCATGGGCTGTACTCTGGTGTGAGACCTGGCACAACTCTGCCTAGGCTTGCATGCAGGGAGGGGTTAGAGACCCTGAAATATACTAGCAGGTAGGGTGGCGACAAGGCGGGTAAATGAGGCTTGGGGGCATGCTCTTGGTAACTTGCTTGGACTCCTTCTGATTAATGATTAAATCCTAGCAATTGGTGCAACTCTCTGTACCTCTTAGAGTGCCTCTGCACTGGTCTGCTCTGGGGTGTTCCTTTGTGGCCCTGCTTTCAAGAAATCTCTGTGAAACCCTGGTCATTTCTCATTCAGTGGCATATCATAATTTAAAAATCAAACACTCCTGAAAACAAGGAGTAACCATCCAAACTCAGTTTGCAAAACAGTACAAGAAAGCAGTGTCTGGTTTATTCAAGCCTAGAAAACTTTAGTTAAGGGGAAAATGGTGTGTGTGTGTGTGTGTGTATACACACATACATTATACATATATATATATACACACACATACACACACACATTTACATATATATAAAGCATATATATTTCTGGCCCACATTGCCCAGATGTGCTATTTTACAACCAAAAATCTCCAATAATTGGCACAACTCCCTCCTTTACTTTTACGTGTAGTCACAGGGTCTTAAGGTAGTACCCCTTGTTACAATGTTCTCATAAAGCAGAAGAAAAGAGTTACATAATTTTATGTGAGACACCTATTTGTTAAAATCCAAAGAAAGAGCAATAGAGTTATTTTCATGTACTTTGCTTCAAATAAAATCATTATAACTAAAAGAGCTAAATAACATAACTAGCTCCTGGTTTAAAGCAGTGTTTTAGTCATACCATTTAAAACATCCTGTGTCTGGTTTTTTGATTAATACCTACATGGCTTAGTGGTTCATTCCTGTTCATCACATAAAATCCAAATACTCTAAAATTGCCTATGCTTTTACCCTTTGATCCAGCAATTCTACTTTTTAGGAATCTGTATAAAAGATACATAGGCAAAAAAAAAAAAAAATGAAATGGTGAACGCATTTGACTGTTCATTGCAGCCAGTTTATAATAGTGAAAGACTAGAAACAAATCTCCCATGAATAAGCAACTTTTGCATGTGACTTCATCTATGCAGTGAAATATTATGCAGCTGTCAAATATGAATGAGGAGAAACTATGTATGCTCTTAGAGAATGATCTTTAGCATATACAGTTTACCAAAAAAAAAAAAAAAAAAAAAAAAAAAAAAAAAAAAAAAAAAAAAAAAAAAAAAAAAAAAAAAGCAAGGTACAGAGAGAATAGGCAAGTCACTGAGACAGAAAGTAGAATAAAGGTTACCGGGAGCTCCAGGAAAATGGGAATGATGAGTTATTGTTTAACGGGTACAAAATGTCCATTTAGGATGATGAAAAAGTTAGAACTGGGTAGTGCTGATGGTTGCCCAACATTGTGCAAGTACTTAATGCTACTGAATTGCACACTTAAAAATGATTAAAATGGTAAATTTTATGTTATGTCTATTTTTTACAATATTTTTTAAATGAAAGCTGTATAATATTGTATGCTACTTTTTTGGAGTATGTATGTGTTTTAGATTTAACAAAAGAGAAGTATAAACTAAATCTAATAAAAAATAGTTATCTGAAGGGAAAGGAAAGACTGTGGGGAAAGAAACAATGAGAGAAGCTAAACCTTTCTAAATATACTTGGTTTTATAGTTCTGGCTTTGGAGCTTTGTTCCAAAGACCTAGAAACAGTGACAACCCAAAAGCCATCGGGTCACTGTGACCAGACTGTGGTCCCTGAATACCATTTCCAAAGTAAAAAGAATCAAGGTTCCTTGGGTAAGTGGCTGATTCCAAGTCTGGGAAAGGAAATGCATAAAGTGAGTCTGGACTATCTGTCTTGTCATTCCTGAAAGCAGGAAATTATCTGATAATTAAGGTTATGTCAAAAGGAAACCTGAGCTAACTTGAAAAAGATCTCACTGGTAAAAGATGGGGAAACTTGAGCAAATGACCCCAAAAGATTCAAATATATGAATTACATAAATATTCAAGAGTTCCAAATGATACTCCAAACAAAAATTAGTTGGCCACTTTTGGAGGTTGTTAGGGCACAGCTCACTATTCTAAACACATCGATAAATAAAATTATTAACCAGTTATTCTTCCTTTGCTAGAAAGACTCAGAGAAAGTCTTTTGAAAAAGGACTCTTTTGAAAAAAATTCACAGTTGTAAATGCAGAAATGATGGAATTAGAAAAATCACTACTTTATAAATCCTAATAAAATAACCAAATTAATGGTTTTTAACAATTGCTAAAACCATTAATGTAAGAAGTCCTCAAGTAGTGGCCATTTTCTCCTCAGGGTATATTTGGCAACATTTGGAGACATTATTTATTGTCACATGACAGTGTGTGGGAGTGGTGATGAGAGAATCAAAGTTGCCGCCAAACATTCTACAAGTACAGTACAGTCCCCCATAACAAGTGTTACCGGGTCCAAAATATCAATTTACTTGAGAAACCATGCATTGAAAAGTCAATTGGGAACTTTTTAGTGAATGTGTCAAGCTGTTACCACCAGAACCTACTGATTAATTACTAGCTACTGAAAAGTAAGATAGCCAGACATTCTATTTTTATTTATGTGGTGCAATAGGAGGTATACAGACCGCCTATGAAATACCTTTGTCAAAAAAACTGAGCCTGAATGTAATCATACCTCTACATTTAACTCCCAGTTTCCAAGAGCAATGGAGGACCTTGAAACATATTAAATGATACCTTAAGAATATAGGTAACCAGATGTAGAATGGGATATACCCCAAAACTAAGTTCTTCAAATAAATGACATGAATAGAGGAGAGGGAAGGAAACTGTTATGGCCCAACAACCAAAAGAAATGCTTGCACCTTATCTGGGAGTTTGACGTGAGTCTTAGTGTAAAATAACGTTTTTGATGCTATCATCCAGTCCAGTAAGTCTTCTTTATATGGTTGCAGCTACAGTCGATATATAACTGCAACTGCATGAGACTCCTCAAGTGAGAACTACCAAGGCAAACTCTTCTGTGTTCCTGAAGCATAAAAGGCTAAGGCAAAATAAATTTTTTAAACCTATAACTTTAGGGGTAATTTGTTATCCAGTGATAGAACAATGAATTGAACACTGGTTACTAGATATTAAAGACTGATTTTTAATTTTGGGATATGTGACAATGGTATCAGGGTTATTTATATTTTTAATACACTAGCTAGTATTATACTTATTAAGGTCTTTATAGATGAAATTGTAGGGTACCTGGGTTTGATTCAACATACTGCAAGGAGAACAAAGGCAGGGTACATTAGATATACTTTCTTCCTCTTGGTTAAGTATACTTAAGTAAACATAGATAAGTATATGTGGAGAGAGAGAGCATGCACACATAGAAGACTGTAAATGGTAGGGAGAAGAAGGCAAACTACTTACCCTGCTAGTGACCTTGTGACCTGAGCAATGACATGATAGTGGTTTTCCTGAGTTGTCTTTTGCTTTATGTATTCCAGAATGAGTGCTAGAGAAGCTAGCAACTTGGAAATGCCATTGGCAACAGACTAAAGAAAGCCTCCAAAGAAAGCCTGCCCTCTCTAGCCAAAAGACAAGAAAAGGGTAGCCTAGAAAGACAGAACACTTTTAGACAATAACTGCCCTAACCAAACCACAGAAAAGAACTGTAGTCCCCTTTACCAACAATGGCTAAGTAAGGAGCCTAGACTTTCATCCTTAACAGGGTGTAACAAGATAGGTCTCCCCTTCTCCTGGATAGTGTCAGAGAAAGCCAAGTGGAAAGCTCAGACTTTCATCCTCCCGCATGGTCGTGAGCCACCTTCTCCCCATGGTGTCAGTGGAGAAGCTGGACTTCCACCTCCACCTAACAATAATGAAATGCCCCTGTCTGCTGGGATGGTGTCAGAAGAGACCTAGTAGACAGTCAGGAACTTTCTCACTGCCCAGCAGTAATGAGGCCATCCTACCACCACCATGGTGTCATGGAATATCATGGGAAACTACATTGGGAGCAGTAATGAAACACCACTGTCCTAGCCAGGGTGGTACAGAAGAG